TTCGCATGGATCACAAATCAATCTGTTGGTGCAATACGTGCAATAACTGTTGTAAAGGACATTATATAACAATAAATGGCATCACAAAGGTATATTCCAATTTGATCTGCAGCAAATTATGAACGGCATATACGGAGATGCGAAAACAAGCTCAAAAAGGTGAAGAAAATTTTTGTGCAATCTTTATAGTTAAATTTTTCCTAAGAGATAGCATCAGTGAGGGATTTTTTTTCTATTGTCTTATTTTTCACATTAATGCGATGTCGAGGTATGTGGCCCTATCGCAATTGAAAATAAGGTTTCGATAATCCTTCCATAAAGTTTCGATGAGTACATCTGAAATAACCTTGAGATATTCTTCAGGGAAATACAAAAATCTCCTTTTGTGTTTTTTTGTGCAGATTTATCTATTAAAATCCTATCCGCAATCTATTTTTCGTGCACACACCTTCAACCGAATGTATGCCATATATGATATTACCGTTTCCAACTTTCACCAAGGTTAATAGGAACCATAACAGCTCCCTACCCTTCCCCCCTATAAGAATATCGATTTGTAGCCTCACATTTCAAGGTTAGACTTCTTGTAATGTTTCTGTTCAACATTCGGCGATTTCTGACAATTTTCCCAATAAAACATGATCATTGTGACATTAAGCCTGGCAACGCTGCATAGTAGAGGGAACTCTCAGCGTCACGTTGATGGTTCGTCACCACGCACAGGATTGTAATCAGTTACGGATACCCGTTTATGAGCGCGAACGTTTTATGCACGTCTTGACTTGATTTTTCTTGCGGAAATTTAATATTAGTCTAAAATGTCTGACACAGATACAGCTGATGAAGTGGTTGAAATCAGCTTAACGTCACCCAGAAAAAGGGTTAAAAAGCTTCATCTTAGCGCAGGTGAAAAACAAATTATTCTAAATATCTACAAGAACCAGATGCAAGAGAATAGTGGATTGGCTATAGAAAATATCGTATGTAAGGTTGCTGAAATTTCTGGAGTAGGTCGATCAAGTGTTTACAAAATCTTGAAGGAATATAGACAAAATCACTCACTATCTGAGCCAAAAACATATCCAGCGAGAAAAAAAATCATCGAAAAAATAGATGACTTTGACAAAAGTGCCATTAGAAGAAAAGTACATCACTTTTTCTTCAGGAATGAAATACCTACAATAGATAAAATATTGAAGCAAGTGAATGATGATGAGGACCTGCCAAATTTTAAAAGATCTACGTTCCATAAGCTGTTGAAAGAACTAGACTTTCGATTTTGAAAAGAGGAAGGAATAGTTTATTAATAGAAAAGGAGGAAATTGTTATCTGGAGGAGAGAATACCTTAGAAAAATTAGGCAATTCCGCGCTAAAGGAAGAAAAATTTATTATTTAGACGAAACATGGGTGAACGCGGGGCATACGCAGGAAAAGGTTTGGGTAGACAGATCTGTGAGGTCCTCAAGGCAGGCTTTTTTAGATGGCCTTTCGACGGGATTGAAAAATCCTGCAGGTAAGTTTCGAAGTATATGAACTTTTTTGGATGCAGATAATTCATTTTCTGATCGAATCAATGATTTGGAAGCTCCGAACTCAGTTTTGCTATCTCATCCAAGTTTCTGAGTATTTCCTTCACCCAAAAACTAATCTAAGACCCTATCCTACACTAACCTAAAAAGAGTAAGTTGCTTAATTTCGTCATTTAGTGCGCTCGCTGAGAAGTAAAATAACTAATTACTTTCAGGCAAGGGAAAACGCCTGATCATTTGCCACATAGGTAGCGTATATGGATTTGTTCCTGAAGCATTGTGGGCATTTGAATAAAAAAAACTGGAGACTATCACGAAGAAATGGATGGTAACTCATTTGAAAATTGGTTCAAAAAAATGTTGCCGACACTTGATGATAACGCAATTATTGTGATGGATAATGCCCCGTACCACTCCAGAAAATTGGAAAAAATTCCAACAATGGCCACCAAAAAGGCAGACATTCAACAGTGGCTTGTCTCAAAGAAGATCGACTTCGACCAAACAATGGTCAAAGCTGAGCTGATAAATATAGTCAAGCGACATAAGTATAAATATGATTTAAAAATTGTTGACGAAATGGCCAAAAACCAAAATAAAACGATTCTCAGGCTGCCTCCCTATCACTGCGAACCCTATCGAGTTGATTTGGGCCGACATCAAGCAATACGTGGCGTCAAATAACAGCACTTTTAAGTTTTCTGACCTTAAAAAACTGTTTGATGTTGCTGTCGATAGAATTACGCCAGCAAAATGGAGAACATGTATTGACCATGTCCAAGAGAAGGCTGAAACCAAAATGTGGGATATGGACAATATCATTGACACCCAAGTTGAACCCCTTATAATTGACATCAACAATTCTGATGATTCAAGCTCCTCGGAATACAGCATATAAATCGATTGATACCATTAAGACTGGCAGTTTAACGGGCTTTTTGGCAAGACAGGTAAGTTCATTATAGACTGCAATCAAAGTGTAAGTTTCTAGTTATTAATGTGGAAATTCCAAATTTATAATTACACAAAATTAGGGTTAATTTAGGAGTTCCAAAGCATAATAGTGCCATTTTGACCTTCTTCCTACTTCTCATGTAAATTTTAATAGCAATCAAACTAACAAACTTTATGGACTCTGTAATAAACTTTTGTACTACTACTACTACGTCTGTAGTTTCTATTTGCTCAAAAAAATTTGCTCTGCATTGTGAATAGAAGGTTGATTTGTAAATATTATTGGGTATATATGTAAGTTAATAATAAAATATGAACAATTTCAATTGAGATGGTCCACAAGTTTTTTTCGTGTGCGTTTTAGTAACATTTTGCTGAAATGGTGAATACAGAATTTTTTGCACTGATTCCTAATGTCGAAATATGATTAGAAAGGCGTGGTATATTCCTGATAATTTACTATGCTTTTGATAGAATTTACAGCAACACATATCTTGTACGACATTTTTTGATAGATCAGTCACAATAGCTTGATACGGCCCTGTAGCGTCTCCTACGGTTAAGTTCTTGATCACGTGCAATACGGGTGTATATGTTTGATTTTACTTTGTTTCTTCGATGGATACAGTTTATATAAATACAAATGAATCCCTATTTCGCGTGGTCACGCCATAACTTGCCAACGACTTTACCGATTTCATTCATCTTTTTTTTAAGTTCCCTATTGCTGTATAGAAGGTTCTTACGGGAAAAAAAATCAATACAATGGCGTAGAAAATTGGGTAATCATTGAACACCTAATGATTATTTAAGCTACGCGCGTTTGACAGTTTGCTTGAGCATGGAACACGCACAGCAGAAGAAATACCTCAAGTTCCAAAAGAGACAGACACTCCTGTCTGTCATCTTTATTCTAACAGCTATTGACAGTTAGCTATGTGAGAGAAAAATGCTAATGAAAACACGGTGCTTTAGTTTCTTGACTTTCATTTCTTTACCATTCATACTTTGTGATGGCCCCTTCAAAAGAAACTGCAGTGTTGCCTATTTGTTATCTTTGTCAGTTAACTCTATGCATGAAAATGGCGGATTAAAATACATTTCTTCTGCTTGATTGACTTTCACTACTCTATCAATTTGAACTTGACAGCCCGCAAATTTATATTATTATTTAAGAGTGTTTATCGATGAAAAAATATTGTTTTATTTAATTAGTAGTGCACAGTCCATTCGATGAGAGCTTTTATCCAGTTTTGAGTTTGTTTAGTGAGTTTTTTGAGAAGTATTTGTTCAAAAATGATTATCAAGGGTGGAAGTTAGTTCACCACAATCACGCATTATATATTAAAATTGTGATTGTTCAAAATGCAACCAATTAGACGTACCAACCTAGGTCGCAGAACTCGCAATGCTGCAAGTCAAAGATATGCACGAATAAGTCAAACTAACGAGCAACGAGAAGCGAAAAATGAAGTTGAACGGATCGAAGGACTGAAATTCAACAACGTAGAAGTGTCGCATTTAACCCCAATCAAGCTGCATCAATTATGACGAGGTAATCGATTACAGTTGACAACAAATAGTTGCTATTGGACCAATGAACGTTGTGACACCACATTACAAGGCTTTCAAGTTTAAAAATGAAGCCTCTGGATTATGTTGCTTCAGTGGAAAGATCAAATTGACTTCATTGGGCCATTGGTACCACCACCAGAGTCACTACGTTCATTTGTTTCCGGAAATAATAATTGCTTTGGCGCAACAAAATTCATTCCACATAATTTTATGCCTGATTTCATAAGTTGACTGGGGAATGACAGTGCTGTCAACGTATTTTGCTAGACACATAGCGATACAAACACTTCGCTATACAATCACCTATATTCCATTTATTTACCCTTTTAATATCCATTATTCATTCCAGTTCATAGCTAAGGGCCGTATCGTTAGTCGTTTCCACAATTGTAGCACGCCTGTATGGCCCCCTTGATTTTCATACTATTTTCTCTCCTCCTGAAAGGCTGGGGAATATTTAGATTCCTGCTGCTACGTGTCAGCATCAGAGCTCTCCTATTGTGAGGCTAGGTTTTGGAATTGTAGGAAATTTCAGGCTGATGTAACAAATGATATAAATCAAAAGCATGAACAATTTGATGCGAATAGTTATTTGTAACATAACCTCAAAATAGAACGCTGAAACGGAACAGTAGAAAACTATGAAAATCAAGGAGGCTATAAAAGCGTCCGTCAGTTGTAGGCAATATGGCCCTAAGACAGGACAGCGTCTGTCGGGTCAGCTAGTTACAAATATAAAAAGAAAGAAACTGGATCATATAGCGAAAAAATAATTAAATATGAAGTCATGTAAATGTAACATGAGTTATATATTTTGTCTTAAAATTATCGCCTATTAAATTTATGGTGCATACTTAAAGTATGTAACAAAGGCCTTTAAGACCCACTTTGAACCACTTGTTTATAGAACAAAATACAGAAAAGTAGATGTGAATACTTACTTTTTAACGTTTTATTAGGGGGAGGTCCATCTCGATTCCATGGAGGTTCCCCATGACCCGAGAAGTCCCTCAACTTAAGATATGATATCGTAAGTCTTATTATACTAGCTTTGTCTAACTGTGAGGTTATAGCTGCGGGTAGAGGTAGCATTTTGGCCAATTCGTAGAACTCGAAGTTTTCCTTTCCTCTTCGTGATCGCGCGGCGTCTCTACTCTTCTCTTTTCGAAGTTCCAAGATACTGTAACAAAAAAAATAAACACGTTATTTCGTTTGTCCATATGTTCATCTTAATGGTCTTTTTCCACGACACGATATCATACTAGGATTGTATCCAGCATACATGTAACTATTAGGATGCTCCCGTATGATTTCCGCTTTGTGAACGTTCCGTTTCAGTACGGCTGAATAATGCTTATGTCGTTCGCCGTCATTTATATGATTCGCTATGATATACAGGTATGCATATATTTTTGTCTCAAAGTAATAATAATAAATGGTGTTGGTTGCCGAGATAAGCATGCAAAAGAATACAAAGAACTTAAACAAATTTTATCTTCTTCATCTTGATCTTGGCGTGATACTTTACAAGAAACTTGACTTGACCCATAAAGAAGGAGTTACATTTTATATGTTCCATATTATATACTCATCAGCCAACAGAAAACGCTTCATTGTTTTTTTAAGTAAATCCATAGACAAACTCCTGTATGAAATCGGTACCTTAATATACAGCCGTGTGACATTGTAAGAAAAAGAACATTTGGAAAACGATTTACAGAATCTAAGAGTAGAATTCTAATGTCTGTAAGGCAGGCTGAGTATGTGAACGTCGAGGCAAATTGAACAAATGATATGTTGATCAAAGGTTCGACTTTAAGCAAGCGCGGATTTAGTATTTCGCAAACAATATTTGGGGCGGGTAATTTTTCAACCTCAGTGGAACTTATCCTATTATTGCTCCTTAAATCCATTGAGTTCTATGGGGTAAATGCTTGAAAAAAAACCAAGGAAAATGATTAGACATCCTCAGAAACACAATATTTTATTATATGAGAACAAAATAAGTACGTGGCATTTATAACCAACTAGTGTAATAATATCAAAGATTAAAACATAAAAAACGTCATTGCTGTGTTAACAGAAAAAAACATGCTGAGGGACCCCGAGACATATCCCAGTCCATTCCACACAAAACAATGTCTGTGATGCCGAAAACGAGCATGAGACCGGAAAATTCACATTATCGTATGAACGCTAGCCGAGACAAAGAAGAATGTCTATATACTAGCTGTAGATCGTGTCTTGAGACCGTCTCCAGACTGTCTAGAGACAAAATGCGCAACAAGGTCTACTAGTGTGTACTAAGCTTAAGGATTAAGACTCTGAACTGCCCATTAAACAAATCAAGTAATTGGTGCAAATACTGACACAATCAAGCACTTATATCAGCTGGTGATAAAAATATCAACAGGTTTAGTCATTTTTTTAAATTCAATATAGATGTTACAGTTATTCTTCGAACTTTCGTTGTCGAACTTAGATTTACGGCATAGTTGTTATTTTCTGTTTTTGAATCAGTGTTGATCGCATGTAAAAATGTTGGAAATCTTTGAAAAAACTATATCTGTTAGATCGTTATTATTTTGATAATGTGTGCTTGTACGAAACAAGTACAGGAATACAGGGCTGTACATATTCACGTGTGTCACTTTGAGCATCGATCGACGCATTTTCTGGACAGGTCACAGGCGCACCGCTAAACAAATCCCATAATAAATGTCTTTTTCTAATTTAGGCGCTCATCTAACATAGTGCTTCGGTGCAACACCAAACCCGAACAAAATCAGTCAAGCTTTACACACTTTTCATATTACTATTGAGCAACAAACAGAGCACAAATCACTTTTTAAGTGCAATCTGTATAGCTGATATATTACTCAGACTTAGATTTGTCACAAGTCACAATACTCGTATATACGTATATCGTATAATTGTAAGAATTGTGCTGTAAACGTAAGTGATGTTAAAGAGGTTTGGAATACCAAAGGATACCAGAAAATCACAATGCACAGTTTCTATAGCTATAACTTATAGTTAGTATGCCTCTGTTGCTATGATGTATCAGAAAGTAACACAATGGTGTTAGATTACAAATACAAGTGTCAGACGTCTAGGGGGGGGGGGGCGCCCCTCCCCTAAATTCGCCACTGACTTTAAGAAATAACTTTTTAAGGTAGCCTCTTATAAAAAGCAAACACAGATCGACCCAGGACGTATTTCCTTTCCGATTCTAGCGCTAGACGTTGGGGATAATGCCATCAGATCCAGCCATCCACCAAAATGCTGACTGGCATGACATCAGATGTATTAGGTCTGTTGGGGTAAGGTGGTGTCACAGTGTTGCCGGATCTGCCATTTATAGGAAGACCTGCGATTTGATATAGATCATTAACAAATAAATTGAATGAAACTAGACCAAAGTATGAGCCTTGGGTACACCTGAAAAGACACTGACGGGAAAATTTTTCTAATTTACGCAAAAGTAGATCGTGATTTACTCTGTCGAAAGCTACCGTATAATCCGTGTAGATGGAGTCTACTGCACCATTTTATTCGAGGGCTTCGGATTTTTGAGCATTCGTGGCTGGCATCAGTGTCAGCTACCTTTCGGTGTATGTCTTTTCGCCGGCACCGCAGATCAGTTTACGACGTTGCGGCCATCGTACGTGAGATCGTGTGTCACTAATGAATGTCGCCCTCCAGGGAGTGTCGTCTTCCTTCGGACAGAGAAAAGCTTCCGCTGTACATAGGCGAAAAAGAGGAATAGCTTTTTTATTGTCTTTTCCAATCAGATGGACCGTAGACCGTAGGTAACGTCACTGGTCCCTAGGGCTTTGTGCACCAGCCTGTATTCGCCTCCTATTTAGGTTTGCCGGGACGATTTTTGCACTTGCACGTCCTTTTGAGGCACACAGATAGTAGGTATGTTAGAAGTTGTTTGTCTTCCCACGCATACAACCAAGTCTGTTTCAATTCACCACTGATCGTTTGGAGAAGATGCCTTTTCCAGGAGAAGGATTATTGTTTTATTCCAAGGTTTTTGTCAATCTCACGAAAGCGGAACTTGACCGGATTCAATAGATGATTCAGTTTCAGTGACATAAAAGACGTTGTTGCAGTGGCGATGCGTGACTTTTCCTAAACTGTTACCAAAAGTAGATGTGAAAAATCTTATTAAAAAAAGTTTATTTTGAACCTCCTAAATATAAGTTTTTGCTTATTTTAGGTATTTTATTTAAACTATTTTTAAATTAAGGTAAACATGCCTGGACTGTGCGTCTGGGGCACTTGATATACCTCATCGTCTTATGCTATGACTAATCCAAGCCGTCCGAAAAAACAGTCGAACTTTCTAGATGTTCGGAAAATTTTTGATCTTTTTTGGAAATGAATGTTAACAATTCTCTGTAATTTCCTCTATTGCCAGAGTCATCCCCTTCAGAATGAACGGTAATTTCTGTTTTGCCAAAAAACATACGGTATCTAGAAGTGTGCTGCCTAAAAGCTTGGTTAAAACAACTTTCGATTCTTGTTTTGCCAAACTGAGTTAAATTGGCTACATATCTCACATGTAACGGAGAAATTTCATGTCTCCTCTTTAGAGCCCTAAAACTATTTAAATCGTTGACTCCGCTGCTGGTCCACCCATTTTTTTCTGTATAAAACAGAAGACATCGCCAATAATACAATTTGTTTTTTTGCAACCACATAACCAAAAGGTTCCATATACCAACTTAATTTAAAATATCAAACTACGTTTTTTTATTACTTTTTAAAATTATATAAAATAGATGTTGGTTTTCTATGATCTCCTTTTTTTCTTAAAAATTATACACGGAGAATGACTTTTCAAGTAGTTGATCGATTACGCAGCGACACTCATCCATGTTTAATTGCACGCACACTATAACCGGTAACCAAATCAAAAAATGGTAACAAGTCCACATAATAGTCGCGCCCCACGCACTCGGGAGACCGCGATAAGACACGAGCCGACGGTCCCCGACGGACTACCAAGTGTATCCATAAATGAAAATGGTAACAACCGACAACCAAATCGAGGCGAGTCGGCTTCATCGTGTTCACAAAACCTAGACACCATAGGGCGTATTATTTTTGTAGGGCTAATTTGCTATTTACTGAATTACTATTACATATCGCTGTTGGTAAACAAATAAATGAACTTATTTCACAGTACTTAGTCATAAAATATTCATTTTTAAGATTTTTAGCTGTCACCAATGGTAATAATGGTTACATGGACGCTTCGCCACTGCGTGGTTGGGATGACATTCCTAATTAACACATTTTACTTTCCACGCCTACATGACTATGACGATGAAAAATGTATGTATACGTCCGAATATAGAGAAAATGTCAGGTGTTATCTGAAAAAAGTCCCGAATCTATTAATGCCACTACCGTTTTTTGAATGTCAAATAAGTTACAAGAATGATGTCGTAAATGTGATAAGCTTTCTTTTGAAGAATTTGGAGAATATCCTAATTTCACTTCATTAACAGTCAGCCAGCGTTTGACAGTCAATAGCTAACTTGAATGGTTCGCTGTTTGGACTACTGAAATGCTAATATTTTGAATCGATTTAAATCTAAAACGTCTTCATGTATATGTTACTAATCATTATTTTGCCGGCATATTGTTGCGGCTCACGTTGCGTAAAAACTGTTTTATGACGGGTTTTTTATACATTGATATAGCTAGTTATGTAGTTAGTGTTCTTTCGACATTAAATACCATTATGAGAAAAAAATCTGTCATCGATTTCAAATTAGACCCTCACCATTGGGATCTCGAGATAACTACCTAAATGCCGTTTAGAAAGTTCCAAAATTCAAAGTACTTCCAGAGAGAGACTGAAAAAAACGAATTTTCCCAAAATCGTTTTAGTTTGTTCCTGAATTTGTCGTGGGATTTAAAAATATATTGCGAATTAACATTGCCACTTTTCCTCCTCTACAATATGGCAGAATCGGAATTTCAATAGGTATAACGTTGCATCTATTGTTCTCCAGAATCGACTTCATTTTTCCTTACGGACGCAATATTGGATTGGATGGATGGTTCAAAGGTGCCTTCGGATCTCGAATCCAAGGTAATCCAATGAGACTCAAGATAATTCGAAAAAATGCAAGACAATCCAAGTACGACCGTACCAAT